TTACAATGAGTCTGACAGCAATGTCAAGTTGCATTGAACTGGACTGCAGCAGCTTATTCACCTGGTTTATGGTGGTGAGAATGTCTGTGCATATCATATGATTTATATGACATATCATNAAAATGTTTGGGAAACAAAGTGCTTTGCAAATATAATTCCTGTTTATTATTATTATCAACACAGTTACTTTTTTATACAGCGAGGTAAATGGTTAATATGCATGTATGTCGTTCAGTATGCGTTTACAGGTGAATACGTCTGCATTTCCTGCCAAATACTAGCCTCAAAAAGATTAAAATATAATTAATGCAAATAAACTACTTCTAATAATAATAATAATCATAATCAATTCAATAATGTAAATACTATATTATTTTATTATAGTTAAGACAAAACATGCTAAAAAAAAAAAGATATTTCTTAAATCTGTATTCAAATGTAGTTCCCTCTGTCAGCAATGTATCAACAACTACACACACATTTATATCAGTATTTCTCTTTGTTGTGGTTGACATGATTGCATGACTGTTAGGAGTTAAGGGGAGAGGCTGAGCATCACCATGAAATGTGCAAATTGACATAAAAATGAATAAAAGGGGAAAAAATGCTCCATGTCTTTTTAGGCTGTAAACTTTAACTGCCAACTAGACAGACATTTTATCACTCTTCCTCATGTATATTAGCAGATAAAAGGCGTAAAATACTTGAATGAATGGTAAATAAAGAATGCTGGAAATAACTGCATCTCCATTAGCCTATATGGGGGGTGCGCGGAGAACTGCGTTGAGAACCGCACTGAGAACTGCGCACAAGCCGAGCTCATAAGCCGAGGCCCCCTGCGCAATGTGAGGCCCCATGCAGCCTGCATGATCGGCCTGTAGGGAGGGACGGCCCTGATTGCAACATGTGTTTTCTTAGTAATGTAGCTCATTTAAAATGTGGATAAATCCTTTTAAGATCACATCCTATTTTCTGTAAAATGTAATGAGTTGAGCAACACCTCAATCAAGTAAGCCCTGGCACTCAGGGTTTTTCACTCCCTTTTAAAAGGCTTAGGTGCATCCCTAGAGCCGAATGAATGTGAAATCAATGTGCAGTGCATCGACTAACTTAATTACATTTCCCGGATCTAAAGAGTATCGTCCACAGTGGAATTCTTTAGCAAGTTCTCTAAACGGATATGTAATGGTTAAAAATTATGTGAAAAGGACCAGAAATAGTTCCAAAAAACAAGCTAGGGGCTTTGAAACTTTTATCCACAAAACAATGGGTGAGTACGTCCTCTTTTTATGTACAGTCAGGAATTAAAGCAATCATTTAAAATGAATTCAAGTTTTTCATTCAAACATTTAATCGTTTTGTTTGATTGGTCATATCTATCGCACCTGCAACTTCAGCCTATCGCCATTGTTGCCGCCGTAGAGAATACAACAGAGTTTTTCCAGATTGTAATTTGAAGCTGAGCTTAATATAATAGTTTTTATTGAAAAGTAGAGCAGTACAATAATGGTGAGCATACTGCAGTTTGTACTGAGGTGCAGTTTCTTTAAAATGACTTTAAAGGAGCTAGAAACAGAGCTTCTGTTTTTTTTAACCAACTGGATCAAAGCCCAAGCAATACATCAACTCAGTGCATTAAAGCAGACTAATAGAAGTGCTCTGATTTTGAGGAGTCCATTTATCTCCCACATAATTTCGTTTTGCTTTTTGAAGATTTATGCCAGTGTCTTCTTAAAAGATATATTTCGCTATAATTCAAAACTGCTATATTTTTCGCTAATATGCATGTCTAGTTGCTGAACCTATTTATAGATTGTATGGCACAGTACACACACTGCCACAGTGCTAGAAGATCATCCAGCACAAGCACTCCTCCAAGCTCTGACCATTTCTGTCGGCTGCCTTACACTTTTTCAACTCTCAATGCTTTTCCCCAGTTCCTTTCTCTACTGTATGTTTCGTAGAAGTCTCTAAGCTAAATTGACTTCAAAATCCGATGACGGGTCCTTTGTGATTTTATTGTACCAGTTCAGGATGACTAGAGCCGTGGTACAGATGAGAAGCAGCGAAAAGGCTGAGAAGTTTTTGCTCTTTGGATGCTGCA